TCCTGCCTCTTCCACATCTGGACAGGCTGTTGAATCAGGATCTTCATGGATGATGACCAAAATTCAGTTTGAACATAGCTAAAGAAACATCTGACTCCAAACATCTTTTTTGCAAGAGATGATGCAAGAGAAAAACACAATCACATCCCTTCAAAATAAAAGCACTTCCAGCGCATAAAAAGACTCCATCCATGCAGTAAAGTATATACAAGTTTTAGAACATCTGCTCCCATCCCATGTCTTTATGAGAAAACAATGAAAAACCACAGACTGCATCATTACAACAGCATAACTCGTTGAGAAGTCCAGGTTCTGAACTGATCTGCCTGCAGTCCAGACCTCTCACCACAAGAAACCATTTGATGCATCATGAAACAAAAAGTCCACCAAAAAAGAGGGACTGTTGAACAGCTAGAAAAGACCAGAAAAGGACATTTCCTCCAGAACCGCCAACACCCAGTCTCCTCGGGTCCTTTAGAACCTCCAACAATTGGTCTCTTCAGGTCCTGGATGTTTACAGACTGATCTAAAAAAGTTAAATCTGGTCCTCTGGATATTCAAATATCATCATCATCATCATCATCATCATCATCATCATCATCATCATCATCATCATCATCATCAACAACAACAACAACAACAACAACAACAACAACAACAACAACAACAACAACAACAACAACATGTAGAAACGTTTCGTCTCTCATCCAAGAGACTTCCTCAGTCTGAGGTGCTGTATTCAGCTCAGTCTCTTAAATAGCACCTTCTCAGAGTGGATCAACCAGTTTACTGCTGACAACCAAAACCAGTATATTTCTAGATAAAAACACTAACAGATATATTAGCATGAATTACTGCATCAATACAGCATTGTACGGAAGCTGTCCAATAAAAATCTAGTCAGAACTCCTGATAAGCCCCTCCCACCATATATCTCACAAACAGCAACGAGACAAATAGCAGTTTTGAGAGTGGATGTTTATTTTCAGTTGGAGGAGGAGTTGGACGAAGAAGACCTGGTAATTCTGTTGTTAACTGAGGACAACCACTAATTAGAAGAGGCGAGGACCTGTCCCTACATCGTTCAGTCGAGGTGTACACCCTCCTGGACAGCTGACTGTCTCTGCGCCGTCCCCTCCGTGCACAAAAAATGTTTACCAATGTTTAATGTTTACCTCAGAGTGGATCAACCAGTTTTGCTGCTGACAACCAAAACCAGCTGATCACATGCTCAAGAAGGACCATCAGCCTAACAATGGATCATTAGCACACTGATGGCTGTTTACTATTCACAGAGGGCTGAGTGATACTAGCAATCACAGCATTGTAAGAGGGGGACAGTTGAACCCGGAGGCCTCCACCCCTGTTTAATGATGGACGATTTCTTTTCACAAAGATGGCCTCCTTTACTCCTCTCTCAAACCATCGTTCCTCTCTGTCCAGGATGTGAACATCTTCATCCCTGAAAGAGTGACCGCTGGCCTGGAGATGAGTGTAGACCGCAGAGTCCTGGCCTGATGTTGTTGATCTTCTGTGCTGGACCATCCTTTTGGCCAGTGGCTGTGTAGTTTCCCCGATGTAAGACTGATCACCCTCCTGACACTGAACAGCATACACAACATTACTCTGTTTGTGCCGGGGGACTGGATCTTTGGGATGAACCAGTCTTTGCCGTAATGTATTTTGGGGTTTAAAAGCCACTGGGACGTTATGTTTAGAAAATAAACGTCTCAGTTTCTCTGATACCCCCTCAACATATGGAATGACCACTGGTCTGGGTCTGGGTTCCTCCTTTTCACCTGATGGCTGACTGGAGTCCTGTTTGTGTTTCTTCTCTGCTTTCAGGAAGGCCCAGTTAGGATATCCACATTGCTCTAGAGCCTGTCTTGTGTGGGATTTCTCCTTCTGCCTGGCTCCTGAGCTAGTGGGGACGCTGTCTGCTCTGTGGTACAGAGTCCTGATGACTCCTAACTTGTGCTCCAAAGGGTGATGGGAGTCAAACTGCAAATACTGGTCTGTGTGGGTGGGTTTGCGGTACACCTCAGTTTGCAAATGTCCTCTATCAGAGATTGAGACCTCACAGTCCAAGAAAGCCAACTTGCCATTTTGAACATCTTCTCTTGTGAACTTGATGTATTTATCCACAGAGTTGATGTGGTCAGTAAAATGTTGGACTTCCTGAGATTTAATTTTAACCCAGGTGTCGTCAACATACCTGAACCAATGACTTGGTGGTGTCCCTGAAAAGGACGTCAAGGCTCTCTTTTCTACCTCCTCCATGTACAGGTTGGCAACAATAGGAGAAACTGGAGACCCCATAGCACACTCATGTTTCTGTCTATAATATTGCTCCCCATATGTGAATACCTACTTCAACTTTATAGATAATTTACTCTGCTTTTGAACCTCATAATTCACCATAAAGTTTAGAAGTTTAATTTCATAACCCCTTTTCGTGTTGTCAGCCATCATTCATTCTTCAGCTGTATTCGTTTTTGATCATTTATATTTATCAATATCAATAATAAAATTCACAAACTTTACTTTGAATCCATGCGTTATTATACATGACATCTGAATTTATTACGAAAAGAACTCACTATAATACATACATTTTGAGAACGATTTTTTTTTTTTTGCTTAAGAACCAGAAAGCAAGTGGTGCCTTTTTCAAAATATAATTACTAATCAAAATGCAATGATTTTGAGGACCCCTTCCTCTACAGCCTCATGGTTTTACTGCTTGTTTTGCTCTGACAGGACTGGAGTTAACAGCTAGTCGGAGCAGGCTGAGTGGACAGCTGACGTCCTGAAACAACTTCAGTCTTAATAGTGGTTATTACTGCCCTTTTACACAAGCAGTTTTTATGACCCTTTTCCAGAGGTAACCGGGGGTCACTCTTTATGAAACACAGCGGTGGCGACATCATGATATGGGCTACTTGTCAGGAACAGGTCAGCATCATCAGACTCTGACAGACACAAAAGACATCAACAATCACCAGATATAATTGTTTATTTGTCTGCCGAGTCCTCCAAATGTACAACTCATGACATTTACAACAAACATTTATGTTTATAGTATTTTATGTAGTTACTATGGATACATCTCCACTGGCATGTGTCTAAAGTAGCTCACAGATCTGATAAATAACCATTCATACCATAGAAAAGTGTCGGCCCAGACCAAACAACACACCGAGTGCCAGACGCTCAGATCTGTACGTTAGAAGAAGAGCGGTCAAACAGGAAGTAAGATCTGTCCTCCAACGGGACCACAGTGCCGCTCTGAGCCGCTTCCTCCACCGTTTTCTGGTCAGCTGGAACGTCGCAGCTAGACCCCTGATTTTCTGTTTGTAAACATTATTTATTCTGAGCAAGAAAGATTTCCATAATTTCAGTCAGTCCTCGCAGTGCAGTCTATGGATTTGCTTTAATAGACCTTTTCAAAGAGAATCGTGCTTCCTGTTGCAATAAACTGACATTTTTAACGTTCTTCGAATAAAAAAAAAAAAAGGTGAAAAGCCCCGTTTACACAGCTCTGAATCATTTTAAAAACAGGTTTTCTCCTGCACTTGCACCTTCTGTCCACACACACTGAGATTTTCTAAAACTCTCCTGTTGGTGTGTTTGCCGTCTTGTAACTTGTAATACGGAACTCCCTAGAAATGAGAACAATCATGGAGCTATTTTTCCCAGATGTTCCATTTTGATCTCAATTGGTCTTGATCCTGCCTCCATTAAACACTGACTGTGTGCTGAAAGGGTTAAGGTAGCATCTCACAGGGACTGCTGGACTAGTGAGTGCCTTCAAATGGTGACAATGGGCAAACGTTCCATTGCAGTGTCACTGAAATCTGAGAACTTGTGACCAAAACCTCAGTGAGTTGCATTTGAACCTAATGCTGCCGATTATTAAAATTCATTCATAATTTTTAAAAATCACAGCCCATTTCTGTGTGCATGGCTTGTTAAGCTGTATTTGAAGCAGTGCACATTATTTGGTTGTCCAATTCAGCCCATGCTGCTATCAAGACGAGATGCAACAAAACGGAGAAGGGTTCAGGTTGGATCTGAGCCAACTGACACATTTATGTTCATCCTCCTCATCATCAGTCCCTTAGCCTAGTGCCGTGGGGGCAGTACAGTGCATACGTCATTCACCAATAACCTCCACCTGGACCGATCCTCAGCAAGACAACGGAGGACACATAAATGGTAGCCCTGTCCAGATTCCTTCAGCTTTTCTCTGAAGGATCACGTTTGACAAGAGTTCATACTTCAAATTCTTCTTCTTAATCTGCTTTAGGAAGGAATCATGATTAGAACCAGACTGATATTTCAGTAGGGCTGATCATTTAGGCTGATATAGACGTTTGGGGACATACTGATATTGGTGATAACTGTCCCATTATGCACCGATAAAAACACTGGGAACAAGCCGTGTCCTTACTGGCAAAAGGCGTAATTGTACAATGTATCCAGCAGAGGGTGCATGTACTTTAGAATCATAGCCATTCATTTTAGATTCACTTTCACCACAGCTGAAGCAGGGAGCAGCTGTGTAGCATATTTTGCTGAACAGAGCATGGCCAGTTTATTTAAGATTAGACAGAACTTTATTGATCCCGCAGGAAATTGTTTTAACTGATCTGTAAAACAAATCAACAATAAATTCTCTTCAATCCTCTAACTCACTTGTCATTAGCTATGTGCCTCTCAAGCTAGCAAGCTAACGTTTAGATAACCTAGCATAGGCTATTGCCTTGTAAACCTTTATCCAGAACAATAAATCTAACGTAGAGTTAAACGTATCAGTGTTAGTAAAGTTATCCTTGTTGTCCTCAATGAAATGTATCATTTGTCTGAAATCTTTACCTCTCTGTAAAGAAAATAAAACTCTGCGGTGGTCAACACTAATGACCTTCACCATACATGACTGACTGTTTAAACAATGAACAGGAAGGCGTTTATTTTATATTTTTGTAACACACTTGATAACTTTATGGTGAATAGTGGAGGATAGAAAATGTGAACGCACGTTAGGAAGACTGTTTTTATGACCCGTGCACCTCCTGTAAACCTGGTGTGGGTCTACGTATAGCGTGGATCTGATTAGCTTAGCTTCATGGTTGCTAAATAAACAAGACCTGCTCCACTCACTGTTTTTTTTTAGATTCTTGGGGGTGGACAAAGCTCAAACTTTTTCTGCCATTGTATCAGTTAGCCTTCCCATTCCAATATCGGTCTTGGCAATAGTCAAAATTTCTATATCAGTCGGACTCTAGTCATGATCTCCACCGAGGGCATGGACTGTATGGTGGGTCTCAGTGGACCTGAAGCAGGTGATGGCAGCAGGTCATTTCAAATATGCCTATTCTTTCTTTACCTCAAGGATAGAGTCCAGCTCTCTTCAGCGCAGAGGACTAAGACAAGTGGACATGGCAGCCTGGGACACTGATCTGTTGTTCCAAACTAATTTGAGTCTTTCTAGAGCACTGCTCCATTGATGCAGCTAAACCCACGGCAGATTAATCTCCCCCCTCTCCCACCGGAGGGGTGTCAGGGTCTTTGTTTGCCTGACTCCCAAGACAGAAGGCTTCAGTCACCTGCAGGGAGGTGTAAACCTGAGGTAAAAAGATGAGTTATTCACACCTTCATGCATGTGACCAGACTAATGACTCTGTTGTGAAGGGAGTGCGTTTCATCTGCAGTGACTCAGCTGCATAAACAAATCATTTCATGCAGCCTAAAGCTTAAAACAATAAACTGTCCAGCTTTGAATTAAGAAAGCTCCCTGGACGGGAAGAGACAGGTCTTTAATTATACAAGTCCAGTTGTTTAATTTTAATGTATTTTTTGGGTTAGCACCACGTCTTAGATCGAAAATAAACCCCTACATATTTCCATCAAAACCTGACTCTTCCACAGTTCTGTCTTAGGGAAAGGTCGAATAGTTTGGGGGATGGGGGGTTTACCTTCCTCTGTACAGCTGCTAGACTGTGTTGGGACAGCAGCAGAACTGAAAAGCAAAATTCTCTCAATCCAAGTCTTTAAGAACGTGTGCAAACGAGGAGTGTACAGGTGTATATGGGTGGGGAGGGGGCAGAAAGGTAGCATTAACACGGTCACAGCTTGAACAAGACAAAAACATGCACAGTTTCTAATCAGTTTATACTCAAGCTACATGGGACATTACTAGGTACATCATGGAAGGTGTTTTTTTTTTTAAAGGACAAAAAGAATCACAAGAAAAGCCTTTTTAATGTTAGTTTTGTTCTTTTGTGCACGTTATGACTGGTGGGTGGTGTCACAGCTATGGTCATTAAAGAGTGCCATCTCTTCTATTGCGTCAGGCTGTTTACGGCGCCTCGGCTCCCACGGGGCCGCAAGCGGCAGGACAAACATGCACAAGCAGAGCTGGGGGCTGGGTTTTACCCCGACCTCCTGCTTTAGTTAACATACTACAGTACCAGTGGTTACAAATCACCGTACGGAGGAGGTCAGCTTGCCTCGACACCTGAATAAAACTAACTTCTATGGCTTCAAAAGGAGACGGTTTGAGACCCGGGGGGGTGGGGGATCAAAACAGTTTCAGAGGTTTATTAAATTTTGAGTTTGTGGAGTTTTCCCATGCTGAAACACAAAATCAATTAGAAAACGTTGATACTGAACGATGTGTGTTAAGAGCAAAGTATTGCACATCAGTCTAAGCCTAGCGGACACGGGCAGAGGGGGGAGTCGATGACTGTGGCTGGCAGTTAACTCGACGTGGTACCTTGGCACATGACGATGGGACATGGGAGAGCAGTCACCAGGCGTCAGCTTGGTAATCAGGTTGGTCAGCAGGCATTTGAGTGGGTGGGTGTTTGGAGGGGGTGGGGAGTACTGGACACAGTCATTTAGCTCTGAGCAGTTAGTCGCTGCTCTGTGAGCGAGGCCTGATGTGATACCGTCTTGTTTTCGTGAGCCCTCAGCTTGGACACCACGTCGATGAAGGCCAGGTTCTGGACCTCTTTGTGAAGGGGCTCTGAAAAACAAAGACAGGGGAAACTAATTTCAAACATATTTTACTACAGGTACTGGCATGTCCAAAACCATACAGTATCAAGAAATATTTGGAAAAATCAACAAACAACACTGTTTAGTTGACAAAAATATTTTATTTTTCTCTCTGTACTCCGGTGAAGACAGACGTGTCCTCTTTTGCTCCGTCCCCCCGCGCTTCCCTGCTTGCTCTCTTTCGTCCTGTGAACCCTTAAAGAGCCTATTTTTTTTCCTGCATACCTTCCTAATTCGAAGGACTTGATCAGCTGGTCTCTCAACAAAATTGATCAGCTTCTCCCGACAAGAGTCAGGGTAAGGAGGACCCTCTTACCTCAATGGAAACAAATTGGATTCATGATGACAACTGGATTTTGCTGTTTGGGTTGGTGAAATCTGGATTGTCTACAAATTCATGTGGAATGTGTCGAAGCTTGGCAGCACTCAGACTGAATTATGTGGAGCTGTGTCAGAGTTGGAGCAGGCTGAACCTCAACCGAGCTGGTGTTGAATTACACCTCTTATCTGGACAATGGCTGAGGGGGGCTCTGGACTATGCTATAACCTTCCCTTAAAACTAAATGTCTTCACCAGCCCCATATGTATCATGTCTATGTTGCTTTGCTGTGGTATTTTTTTTTGATGTCTCAAATCGTGCCCTGTCCAGGACACAGCGTGAGAGATCTTTTTTTTTTATACCGTCTCTCCTCATGTTTTCTTCCCTTTTCTCATCTAAGCAAAAATATTATTCTGAACAAGAATAAGAGGGCAGCGCTTTCATAGTAGCAGCTTCATGCACTCCACCCATCTTTCAGACGATTGTACGTACATGTTCTTGTTGTATCTCGGTGCTTTGAAAATAAAGCTTATTCTGAGTCTGATATACAGTCTGACCTGATTTGTTGGCGGTAAACTAAGTGTTTAACCTTGGTAAGTATCACAGGAGCCTTCAGGCTCATGTCGTTTGGTGGTTGTGATTCACCACACTGGACATGGAACAGAGAGAGCAAAGAATATAGATATCCAAAGGTCAAGCCAATAAAACATTTCCAAGCTGCTCATGTTCCTCTGAACGCACCCGACATCAATCATCTTCCTCTTGTTCTGGAGTCAAGTCTCAGGGGCAGCAACATGAGCAAGGAGGCTAAGGACTCCCAGATGTTCTCATTTGGCACTTTACCACTGTCTCAACTCGCATTGGTTCTGCACCACAAAGGCTTACCCACTGCCGGCCCCCACCCCCACTCAGCCCAGTTTATGGGACCACCTTGATTGAGGTTCCTAGCAGACTGCTCTGAGGGGCTGATTTTGACGTAAGCAGACAGCAGCTGTTGATTGGCCAGAGGAGTTGCGTCACTGGATGACCTGCCCAGTAACACTGCAGACTATATCTGAACCTCCACTTCCTCATCGTGTTGAGATGGCACCACAAAAAATGAATGTATTTACTGAGAGATATCAGAGATAATGGTGCAGCATGGCTACACCCAGACTTATAAGCAGAGCAGGGAAAAGCTCAAGAAATTCAAGTCTGAGTATAGGGTGATTAAGGATTACAATGGGCGAAGTGGCTCGAACACAAAATAGACCAGTTAGGATCCTGTCCACAGAGCGGTGAAACAAGTCTGTCTGTCCATCCATCCATTCGTCCATCCATCTATTGTTTTTACCAGCTTCTTCCTTGTCAGGCCACAGGGGTCACTGGTGCCCATATGCAGCATTCACTTTGTGTGTGTGTGTGGTGGGGACAACCCTGGAAAGGTCGCAAGTCTATCACATGACCATATAGAGACAAACATCCATTCACTCTCTCTCTCTCTCACCTAGAGACAATTTAGAGTTACCAATCAGTCTAACATGCATGTTTTTGGTCTGTGGGAGTAAACTGGAAAACACGGGGAAAACTCAGGCATGCACGGACAGAACATGCAAACTCCACCCAGGAAGGCCCCCGGTTGGGAGTTGAAATGGCAACCTTCTCGTTAAGAAGCAACAACTCTACCAACTGAACCACTGTGCCGCCAGTAAATGATTCACAGAAGCAAATAGCCTACACCTGAGAAGAACCAATAAGATGAAAGCCGAGTGCAGTCACACTTATTAAAGGAAAAGTGGCCATTCAATTAAATTAAATTCAGCTCAATTCAATTCAATTCGGCTCAATTCAACTCAGTTCAATTCAGTTTATTTATATAGTGCCAAGTCACAACAGAAGTCACATCAGGGCACTGAACAGAAACATGTGTATATATATATATATATATATATATATATATAT